GGATGGATGGGAATGGTTTAATCTCAGTCAAACAACAACATGGTAGTCTGTTGCATGTGGGTAAACAAATTATATTGCTGCCTAGTTGGTGAAAAACGTAAAAAACAGTTTTGAGATGTTAATCCCATAATCCTTTGTAGGATATACACACATTCTAAGATCACTGCCTGTAACTATAACCCTGCTACATAAATTGTACTGTATTTTTAGCTTAGTCTCAGCTGACTCACATATTGCAAATTACATTTTTTTAAATTCAGGACAGATCAAAATAGCAAATCACATTTTTTCATTGTAATACACTAACTGAAGTTTGTTGGCAGCATAATAACTTTGGATTGTTGTAAAAATGGTTTATTTTGGCAAGACTATGTGTATTTTAATAATTATTCAGTCCTTCCAAAACAAAATCCTAGCAAATTGAAGCAAATATTAGAACAAGTAGAAATTGACATCTGGCACACACATGAAATAGAAATGGATACAACAAAATTAGCATACAAGGTGCGTGCAATGATATAATTGTATTTGGTGTTACTTCAGTACAATGTTCAACATTCCACCGTTATATATTTTAATGACTGTGGTACTATGCATGTGATAAATGTATAATCCTTTGATATTCTCATTTAGGTTGAGATCAGCAGACACTTGTGATTACCGTTAGATTAGTATTAACCTTTTCACCACCAGTTCACTCTTTTAATCACAAATTAGTCCCATTCATTGTTTGCACATTTCTTTAGAAGTCTGGGGTTAAAATAGCCAAATATTTTGACTAAAAACTTAAAATGGACTCAAATATTGTTTGTTAACAGGGGTAGGGTTCATTTCCAGAAATATTGAAAAATATTAGAGAAAAAAAAGTGCCAAATTTGAGTGGGAAAAAGGTTAATCCTCAGCTGCCCATAGATTGCTTCTCTGACAGTAATCACTTGTGTTTGCAGACCTCAACTTAAGAATTATCTATCTATTTGAAATAATTATTATTTTATATTTTAAGTTCCAAGTTTTAAATACTATTTATTGTCCTTAGGACCTGTCTTTGTGGTTAAATAAATAATTTTTCATTTTGGATGCATGTTTGTATTGTAAACCAATAATTTAAATTTACGAAATGCCGACACGTCGATGCCCATAAATGACTCAAGTTGTTGAACTTTGTGTTAATGAGTAGTTTGTAGTAGACAATTTGAATTGCATGGCTATGTCTAGCCAAACTAATTTACTTGTCACTTCCTCTGTCGTATTTTTATAGATGACATTCAGCATTCACTTGATGTGAAAACACAGCTACAGCTCGTTGGCTATCACGTGATAGTCTCGCCACACTAGCTCACAACTAAGCTTTCAGGAAAATCATGAAAAGCGATGCCATTGGCTGTTATGTTCTGATGTTGCTGGTATCAACCAATCAGGAGACTCTATAGATAATTACACATGATTGTTTGTTTGTAACTATAATTGGAATTGATGATGAAAATCATGGTTGAGCAGAAATTAGTTAATTTAAGCCGGTTAAATCAATTTAGCAAATCTTAGCTTTTTTCTTTCTCGACATGTTTTGGAAACAGTCACCATGGTTTATTAATTTTACAGTTTCAGGTATTCTTCATGTCAAATTTAAGAAAACATAATAAATTAGCAATACTAGAGGAAATGTTCTTTGAATTATATCTGATGTGATTTAAGTCAACTTGAATTAACAAGCAACAGTATGTCTAGTATTACTGAATTCCACCTGAATATCAAATACATTGTCACATTAGTATGCACTTCTCTTACCCAGACATTGAATTAA